TATTTCATTTTAGGATATTTCTTATATAATTTTGATTTCATCCATATCCAATGGCTATCATTTCTGCCCAATTAGTTCAGATGCTCCAATCCTAGCTTATGTACTTGTATTAGGAAATATTTTTAGATTTATACGCTCTAAATTAATGCATGAAAATGTTTTAATTGATTATGTAATTACTTTTTAAAACCTGTCATACATCATTGTTGCTTACTTTAGGTATCATTGTTACGGGAACTTTCATTTCTTATGAAAGTGAATGAAGAAGAGATTCGTTGGTCGTTCTCACCAGATGAGGACGGATGAATCTCGTACTGCAGCCGTTTGGCTTTTACACGCTATTCATTTTGACGCAGTCCACAAGACTTCTTTCCTCGTTTCGGGTGAAAACGTGCTGAGCTTTCTTCCATCATATGATGGACATCATCAGAGCTGGCTGTCATTCTTTTAAAAGTCTCACGTTAACACCAGAAACGAGAGAGGAAGTCCTTTGGACTGCGTCAAAATGAATATCGTATAAAAGCCAAATGGCTGCAGTACAACTAGATTCATTCGTCCTCATCTGGTGAGATCGACCAACAAATCTCTTCTTCATTCACTTTTATACTAAATGAAAGTCCCCCTAATAATGTTATCTCAAGAGATTCATCGAAACTTAGTTTCTCTTCGTATTTACTTTATGTAGTTACTTTATTTATACTCTGCAGACACATTCACATTTACTTGAATTCACAAATGACTCTAACTTTATTGTATTTCCTTTTCAGATATTCTCATATGCACGAATAAATTGTATTTTTTAGTTAAGTGATAAAGGTAAACTTTAAACTCCACATTTTCGAACTATCAGATGTCCAGAATTGTAATTTTTGCCGTTTAATCCTTACCCTATCTTAGTATTTCTAATGCTCTGCGTTGCTATTTTTCAGTTTTGTTTGATTTAATGTCTACAGCCCAGTTTTATTCAAATTGATTAGACTTCGACCATGTAGACCATTATATCTTGAATAAGATCACATGAAGTGATGAAGGACTGATAGTTTAATTTTCCGACAGTGATATGATGACACAGAATTTCATTTAGCCTCGTTTCCCAAAAGGTTTTCTCATTTAGAATAGACTGCGATTATGACCTCGCCTGGGCCTTATCAGCACCTCTCAACGGGAATCAAATCATGGTCGTGCAGTGTACAATTTCGGCATGTTTTCACTGCGTCATACTTCTATGGGTGTCAGGGGCCCACGGGGCAGATGTGAATTTCAGCTATTCACTTTATGCGACCTAGGATGAATACAGCTCTTATTCAAGATCTACTGGTGGTTTCGAAACCTATTAATTTGAATATAAGTATTGTATTCGAATTAAATTGTGAGTACAAGTTTGCTTCATCGACGATTCTACCACAAAATATCATTAGCACGAGGCCTAGCTAGCCTTAAAATTAACGTCTATTCTTTGAACCACTGGCACTCATGTCGATATGGCATAGTGGTGGCATGTCGAAATTTTGCGTTGCGCTACTTGGCCTCAATTTCTGTTGGGGGTGCTAAAGATGCTCAGGTGAGGTCGGAACTGTAGCCAACCCTTGATGATGATACCTTTAGGAAAGCAAGTTTAAATGAACTTCAATTGCATTGTGAGGCATAGCCATATGATTTTGAGAAAATGCAGCCAGGAATCTTTTATCACTCAGGTGGCCCAAGTTGATCACAGTTGTGTTTAATTCATCATATTAAGATTATCGATAAAATTTACTCATTTAGCCTCTGTATCCACAAACATTTTTACATTTTAATTCCAAATGCTTCATTTTTTTGATATATTTTCTCCGTATTTTATTTCCTTGTACAGGAGCCAATAAATCGTCCTCCAATACTTCCTCCTGGTGTGCTGGAATCCAGAAAACTTAAGCGACAGAGGTTGGCCATCTCGAAATCTGCTTATTCTAACCAAGAGGATTCAGATGTCGATATGGAGGTTCCTGCTGAGATTAAACCACGTTTAACTGCTCGCGAACGTGAATTGGCAGGCGGCGAAGACTATGTCCTGAACCTTCGTGAACATTGGCTCCTGCCTAATCCCGAACAGATAAACGACGTAATACCCGAAATTATTAACGGGCGAAACGTCATTGACTACATGTTTGATCCGGACATTGAGGAACGGCTCAATGAGTTGGAACGGCAGGAGGCTGCCTTTGAGGCTTCCGGCGCATATGCTGAATCTGATTGGGGGAAGGAGGAGCGAGATTTACCAGAAGATGAAAGGGCCAGACTAAAGGAAATAAGAAATACAGCCAAAAAGCAAGCTAACAGATTAAGCAATTTTGCATGATTTGAGAATAGTTGTTTTCAAATTTCTTGATCTAAGGCATTATTACGTTTAGCAAATGATATTTTTTGACTATGGTCTTCACAATATTTTGATAAACTTCGGGATACTTTGGGATACTTAGTCCACTTATTGTATAAAATTTATTTGCTAAAAAATCGCTTTAATTATTTATTTTTTTAATATTATGTTTTCTATTCTTTAACGCTAAGTCATTTATTTTTATTTTCATCCCTTACATTTCTACTATTTTGACAGG